CTTGCATATTAATCAGTATTTATGTGAATATACAACTGTACATTATGCTAGATATAGTAATTTATTTTTTCTTCTATCTTCTTAGTTTGAAAATACGATGAACAATTTGTGTTTTATTCTAATTTTTACCTTTAAATATGTTATTTATTTGAATCATTCATCTGTTCGTTTAGAATGAATATCTAAAAAAAATAGTTTTTGGGAAATATAATTATTCGTTTTTTAAGTGAGTATATTTAATATGACGTACTATAAATTTTAAGTAAAATAATGACAGACGCAATTTCTCTTGGCATCTTTGTTATTACTGTTTTTAAGGTAACAACGTTTGTCTTAATGTCTTTAAGTCATGATGATTGCTTTTTTCTAAGGATGTAATCAATGTAACGAATATAAGAGTTCAGATCCTTCCAGAGGACTTTCATCTACTTTAACAATTCAAGTTTTTATGGGTGGATCGTTCAGCATTGTTTTAGGCATTCCACTTGACTTAGAACCAAATATAATGAATTATATCGAACAGAAATTTTTAGATATCTTTGACTCTATTAAATTTTAGGTTCAATTTTGTAAAATGTACAAATTTTGAGGATATGAAAGATAATTAGACCGAAATGAGTTGAATAGTAGTTGAGCATCTCTTAACAGGAAGATTATTGAGTTGTTTGAATAACTGTTTTAGCTGAATATTTAAAACCAATCTCATAGTCTGTAAATTACACCCCTTCAAAACACTAGTAAATTTAAACTAACCACATGCAGACAAATAATTTAAAAATCCCTTATTTCTTCTATGTTCTACTTAAGACACATAGAATAGAACATGAATGAGTCGAATAATAACGAAATTAATAGACTGCATATTTATCAATGTTTCTTTACGTTGTTGCTAATTTATGTAGATCCAATTATTTTATAATCTCTACGTTCCTAACCATGAAAGCAGTATGGGTCACATTTTCATCTACTATAGAAATATCCTGTTTCTCTTATTTCAGTAAAATACCTTTTTCTGCAGTTCAACTTTTGATAAATAATAATCTCCTGAGAATCCTTCATTTTAAATTTTCTTGAAGCGGAAAACAATGCCAGTAACCAGTTCCGTAAAGTTTATTTTGTTCATTTTATCTTACATTTTTCACCTATTTATTTATTAGAAAGCAACATTATTTCAAGGTTGTAGTGCGTTGCACACAAATTTTGTAAGCAGTATATGCAAAAGGCTCCACTAAGGAAGAAAGTTTTAGAATTTTTATTTTTCGTAGGGAATTAAAAGTTAGAATTTGCGCTTTTGTCAGACAGAAATAGAAATGTCAATAACAATTAGCAAAATGTTTGCATTCAGTGGCAAGTTCAAGTATTAAAATCTCAATAATTATACTTTATCATGATTATTTATTTTAACTGGAAACTGCAAAATATTAACATTTGAGATTATCAGACTGGAACGTTTCGTGCATCTTCGTTGTCGAGTAATTATGAAATTAAGTAACAAAATGTTAAGGAAGTGATGAATGAACTCATTTATCGTTAGTTAAGGAAAACAAAAGAAACGAATTGTCAATACATATAGAAAGCAGAAATGTTTTCTTCATAAAAAATTAAAATTATCAGATGACTACCCAGGATTTTCATTAATTTTTACCAATATCAAATGGATATGAGTCATTATATAATTTTCCCCTGTAAGCTATAAAAATATATACTTATAAATACGTATACTTATGAATGACTATGATGTAATATCATCCAAAGATTTGTGAAGATCGTTTACTTTTGCATGGGAATCGTTCGGTAACTTTGGTACATATTATCTTTAAAAGACATCATGAGTAAAACACCTGAACAAAACCTAAAAATGGCATAAATTCAATAATCCGAATAGATTCTAATTCATTTGATTACTGATGTTTGTTTAGGATAAGCAAACAAAAACTCAATTCATTACACCTATGTTTTCTTTCCCTATACTACAGTTTTTATTATCAGCTATGTACACATAGATAATTCACGAGGCGATATTGATTACCGCTTTTTATCTATTTTGTCGCACTGTTTTTACGAGTACGCTGAAATATCATTAGCAAAGGCTTAGAATCACAGCGTGTTTCAGAAACACATTCAGTTTATTTTACGGAGCATTATTGATCGCAAAGTCAAAGTAATTTGCTTCAGAATCGATTGATTTAACCCAAATAAATGCTCATTACTTCATTTACTGACCACTCTCTCTTTTACCATTCATCCATTATTTTTACAGTTTGCATTCTTATCATTGTTCAGGGTTAAAAAGAAGGCTAAACACTCGATAAGATGCACGTTACCGACAAAACGTAACTTTGAAGTCAAAGTTGATCAGTTGTAAAATTTAGAGCCGAATAATTAAGCTAATATTGAAAAGTGAGGCTTTGTTTTTCTTTTTACTTAATTGCTCTAAAAATGGTTAGCAAAGCGATGTTCTCCATAAAATGATGAATAGTAACTAGAAAATTTTTTTAAAATTCCTTTTATATTATTAAAAACTAAAATGCATCCGTTAAAATCGATAAAAAATAAGTAACCATTAAAATGTTATCTCCATTTCATTTTAAAATGTGTTTATCTAAAAATGAAAGCATAATCTGAAATCACATTAAGAAAGTATTTTTTTAGATAACATCTAGCCAGTCATGAGTTACCCAAAACTCATTTTTAGTCTATGAACAATGAATATGTGGGATCGAATATTCAGATTTTTTGTTTGAAACTTATTTACACGTTGAAGATAACTAGATTTATTCATTACTCGTAACTATCATTAAATATGATAAAGGTCTGATTAAAACTTAGTATATTTTTTAGGCAAATGAAGGTTGTAGTTTAAAATATACTGTTTTTCAACCATTCCGTTCAAGCCATGTAGGTCTGATTTATGTAGTTGGTTTCGTTTACGAATTTGAAAAAAGCCAGAAAAACAACTGAAACAGAATAATATGAATTCACTATATTTCCTTGTTTCCCAACGGAAGTTTACAACCGTAAAGGCAATAAGGTATAACATTTAGGTATGACATTATGTGAAATAATTGATATCGATGACGGAAGAAATTAGAGTAACAAAGATTAACAATTATATATATATATATATATATATATATATATATATATCAAAGGAAGTGAGGTCATTTGGAGAAAGAGATCAAAAAGGGGTTGAGAAAGTTATTAAAAGAAGTCCAGAAATCGATAAGATGGACTATGTGCCGACTCTAGAAGTCAAGATGAGCGAAGAAATATTACTTTTCAATCAGTTCTTCTTCATGTTAAACAGATAAATAGAAAGTCTATACCAATTGGATGATGATGAAACAGTTTAACAGTATAATAGTCAGTTAGCTAAATAACATTTGTAAGAATAAAATGTAAACTAAAATGAACTCTCATGGTTGAAGAATACGAATGGTTAGACAAAAGTAGGAATATGAATTGAAATCGGATGTACTTATAACTGTTTTTTCTATGCATGGACTAATAGGAAACAATGAGATTGTAGTAGAAGTTATGAAGAGTTTCCATAAGTTTTAAATTTTTTTAAGTTAAAGTTAGAATGTTTAGAGAAATAAAATGATAATTCTCTAGATTCAGAAATTGAAATCCTACATAATAAGTAAGCATGATTCGAAGAGGTTAACATAAGTATGGAGAGAGGAATAGATAGAAGGATGATTTTGGCGATCATACAATCAGAATAAGTTTAGCAAAGATTGGATAAAATAATAAACAATAATACTAAAAATGACAAAAAGTTTATAGTTCCAGATAATATTAGTCATAGCTGTAAACTTTCTAAGTTAGTGATAAGTTGATTATCGTCTCATGCTTAAGATATTATTCAGGTCTAAGATTTAATTGTTACTGCTTTGGTTAACCGGAGAAACGCCGCGTGATTTTACTTTTCACATTTTTAAAGGGTTAAGGGATATCAATGATATGCTGGGTATCAATTAAATGCTGAGCTATCTTAGTATTTAGAGTCGATATGTTTCTCAGTTTCAAATCCTATGAAAATCCAAGCACGTACAGTCACAGTAATGTGTTGTATTGGCATGATATTAAAAATTCTAAACAACAGTATCCAAGGATTTTAAAACATAGTTCTATACGTGTAAAGTTTAACTGTCATATAAGTTTTTTCACCAAGTATAATTTTTTATATTGCTTTATTATTATGTAAAGAAATTTGAAGTTGATACTAAAAAATCATTTATGATTTTCCAAATTAAACATTTGGAATCGAACTATGCCACAATGCTACAGAAACATAGATTCTAACTTGTTAGAACGTAGTCTAATCATGTTAAAAAAAAGTTCCAGAAAAAATTTATAAAATCTATTATTCAGAGGTAAATTGAACCTACTGTCTTTGAAAATGCTAATTTAAGTAAAGTTTAGAGTTTATTTTGAGGAAGTGAGGAAGTGAGCGTTATTATTTCGAAAATTTTGTCCTACCTTACATATGTGCTTTAAGAGATGTAGAGAAAAGTGCGAGGAATACTTTCATTTAGAGAACTTACAGAGTATTCCAAATTTCGATGTCCTTTATTTTGTGAGTGTTTAAAGAGCTACTGTGACATCACCACTTTCGTCGTTGTAATAAATGTTGATCAAAATATGTATGGCAACATAAACAGTGTACTGGTAGTGGCCAAAACGACGATAGTAATGTGTGAATTGTACCCAAATTTTACTTATCATCAGAATTTATGCTCAAGTTGTAAAGTGCTATACAGCTAATATAGTTCGCAATACACAAAGTTAACTGCTTTTACCCAAGAAAGTAAATTTGTTACAGTACATATTTATAAGTGGACCGGCTAGAACTCAATAAATACACATAATTAAGTTTTTAAACGAAAAAACTATCAATATTTACATATATTTTCCGTTTTATCATGAAAGTATTTATTTATTTATTAATGCCTAAAGATAAAAATAAGATTAACTTTTGACTTCTGTCCTTGCAGGTATTAGTAATACAAGTCCAGATACCTATAGTCTTTCGGAGCCTGGTATAGCAGTGTCAGCTTCTCAGTGCCCATTAGAGAACATTGATAGTTATAATCAACCTCAACAGCGGAAAACCAACATTTATTCACAAACCGTTCAAAAAATTTCTTCGCGTTATAATGATGATAACAAGGACAAATTAACGGATAAAACTGATCCTTACAGAATACTTAATCAGTATTTACTCATAAATAAACATAATACAAGCGAGAATTTATACATACCGAGTGTTTCTAGTAATCACAGAAGAACAGAATTAAGTTATGATGCCAGTGTTTACAAAATATGGCAAAAGTATGAAAATCGTTTGTATAAATTCAACCAAGTTACTTCATCATTCTCCTTGTCAACTTCACCATCATCATCATCAACATGTACACCATCCGTGACTTTATCTTCATCACCATCATCATCTTCATCAACACCAACTAATTCATCAAAAAGTGAATTGTTTAGTGTTACAGTAAACAGGAAATTTAAAGAAGACTCGTCTGATGATGATAGTACAAGTGATCAACGTGATGAAGTCCAAAAAGGAAGAATTCAAAATACACAATCTCCTATTGCTGTACTACACTTGTTCGGTAAAAAGAAACAGAGTAATAATAAATGTTTGATAAGTGACAGTGATATCCTCTCCTATCAGCCCCAACGCAAGTAAGCTTATTTCAGTGTGTTTAACATTATATTACCTAAAATGACTATCAGTTAAAAGATTTTGTGCATTATAAATATGAAAAAAAACAACATATTTTCCAATATTCATGAAGAGTAATTGACCGTAACCGCTTGACAGTCAGAAGAGAAGTAATATTATCATGTATTTTGAAGACTTAGAAGGGTAGGAAAATGACAATGATTTGTCTGGCATCAATTAAATGCCAAGCTAGTGCACTATTTAGAGATTTAAAACCCCCAATCTCAAATTTTTGGGAATATAATCAGAAATGCAAACAAGTGCACTTCTCTTAGTTCTTCTAATGTATGCGCTTTGGCATGTACATGCAATTAGGTAACAGCAGCTGTAGGCACTGAAAGAAAAAGACTTGTCAATTTTTGTTTGTCTGAGTAACCAGTTTTTTTCACATAACTTCAGAAGTCTTGTTGCTGGGTAAACAATCTTCAAAGTGGTATTTATCCTGTCATTAATGACTGCTCTAATTTCATCTCTTTTAAAGAGGAAATGAAAGAAACGAGTTATATTTTCCACCATATCATATTTGGCATATAAATTAGGTTTGACACCTCAATAAATTTCGGTTGGTATTTTCACGCAGACAGGTTGTAATGAAAGCAAGTTCATTATGCAGGCTTTCTGCAGAGCAAATTTTACGAGTGAGGTCAAAAAGGTTTCGTACGATTTGCTGTAACTGATAAAATAGAAACTGTTGCAGTTTGGATAAATTCCATTCCACGTAATTTTGAGCTGGATGTGTTTAATTAATTTTCATTTTGTCCTTGATTGCTATAAGTTAATAGGAAAAGTCATTACGATATTAAGGCGGGATGAGTCTGAAATACGACAAATTTCTTTATTTCGGAAGTTACACGCGATATTACAGTAACAAAAACGTAGCATATCTTATATGATACTTTTCTGATTGCGTTGTATTAAGCTTTACTAGAAACAGTTTACACCTAGAAATAATCTCCAAGTGTTTGGTAGAGAGCCGCGTACCGACTGATTTTAACTGAAGTGGGACAATATTTGGGAAAAATACCTTATAAATGAATTCAGCTTTTAAACTTTAAGTTATTGCTTAGACAGTTGATATCCACTCAGCTAAAAAGCATATGTTTTCACATAATGTTTTTTACTCTAAACTTAAAATGAAACAAACAGCGATAAAATGTGTAAGAAGTTCGGTAGACAAACACTTTTTCTGATAAATAATCTCAGGAGAGTAGATTTTTTAAAAGTAACACTAAAATGTAACTTAGAATATCACTAAACTGAAAATAAACAAATAGTAAGTACTACTTTAAACAAACAGTTTCTTTAAAGAAGGTAAAAGAACGGTTATTCAAAAAAAATTTAAGAACTCAGGGAAGAAAATTTTCTTTCCGGTAAAGTCGTCTACTTAAGCTGTACATTTGCATTTTATTACATGAGCCTATAGAATGATAGAGGATATTGCATCATCAGGTAATTCAAGATTTCCAATAACAAAAGGAGATCAACCAATTATCCATGGGTTAGAGAAGAAAGAAGGTCGAAAACAATTTAACGGTCAGAAATATGGGAGTTGATTTTCTACTTGACTCATACAATGGTCACTTTAAACATAATTCTGTTAAAAGCAATGAAATTACTTTAACAATTTAGTGTAAACAATTCATAAAATTGAAAAGATCATGCTTGTAAGCTTCTTGAATAAATATTATTGAACAACTTCAATTTGGAATTTTAGACTGAATTTCAAAAAAACGTTGCTTGCTAACTTAATGCCATTCATAATGAATCGTTGTGGACTTTCTACCATATGAACTGGAAGATTCCTCATGAAAAATATTTCATCGATAAACTTTGTTAGTTTATATGCAACCACATTGAACCTTATGAATTAAAACCTGACTGTTTGGCCAACAACGATAGAAGGAAACGGTGTTTGAAAGAAATTGTTTACATCTAGTTGCGAGGACGTGTGCTCAAATTATCCTCATGGTTTAATATTCCTTGTGCGCCATCGAATCTCATGAAAAGATTTTATTGTTTCATGACAATATCTCATCTTTTTTGTCATCTCTTACTTTGTGATTCTGATAGTTTACATCATTTTTAAACTTTTCAACCTTTTTTCTTTGAAATTTGACAAAGTGGCATCGTCTGAAAGTGTTTCGTGAAATGCTAAATTAGAGTATAATTCATCTGTTGATAGATCTCGATCATTTACTCGTCGTACTAAGTGTTAGACTGATCTTCTATGTGTAGAAAGGAATTGTATAGTATTATATTTTACCATAAAAGGTTATTAAACATACAGCAAACAAATAAAGCGTCCAAAATCACTGTTTTTATCAAAAATCTGCATAAACAAAATACATTGATCAAATGTTATTTAACAAAGCTATTTAAAAAAATTGAGTTTCTTCTTATTTTAACTTGCTGTTTTGCTTAGTTGAAAATTTCTCTTGTTCAGCAATTAAATTATTGTATGTTATCAGTTTTGAGTAAACTAGACAATTTTACAATAAATAAAGTAATCCTTATTGATAATTATGTGGGAAGTAGATAAAAAGAAAATATTAGCATGAATTAACGGAAATCTGAATAATTTTATTATGAAACAATCAGTATTTTATTATCTGAGATAGGTTTGGAATTTCAGCCATACTTTATATAAGATAAATTGTAGACACAACTGATTTAAAATTTGCAATTTTTATTTTATTTAAATATGCATAATTTTTTTTTACCTGTACCTTGAACACAAAAACTATAAATACATATATTGATTATTCACTACACTGTTATCAGTCATTGCTCAACAATATTTTGCGATATTGACTGATTAATTACGCTATGCTCTGAAATAGTACATCATATACATGTACTACTCAATCGTTTAATTCTAATATCTTTAGTCGGAAAACTAGGCCAGTGGAATGAAGATAGTAGTCATGATTAGTTTTGACGAAAGGATCAAAAACAAAGCCAAAAAACTTCTTAAAAACGGACTAGTAAACATATAAACTGAAAGAGATCTGTCTGATTCTTTTTCTGGAAAGATAGTGCCTGCTTACTAGAATAATTACTGCTATTATTATTCGCTTGCTAATCGGGCGTATTTTTTTTGAGTAAACCAAACTGCGCGGTTGTCTGTACTTGAAACTTGTTTAATTTTTTGATGCCTATTACTTTTAGATACCTGTAAATGCTGTAAATTTGTAAATCTTTACTTGATGAAGAAGATTAGTACGGCGTTGTGAGAATTTGAAAAATAATAATTAATACTAGGAAATTTATCGAGGAAATTACGCCATTTTGGTTTGTCAGCAAGCGTCAGTTAAAACTTTATTGTTAGTATTTAACTTTCACTGATTTCAAAATTATCTAAAAAAATCAGATTCATATTATTCACTCTTTCTTGCCAAAAATATGAATAAATTTAATTAGTGCATTTTCTTGAATTTTTATTGTTTTTATGATTTATAACTAGGTTGATAAGGCCAAAAAACAAATAGGACATCAGTGTCGGCATGCTTTAAACGACATTTATATTATTTCAACTATATAGGAAATTCAGCAACAAGTTCTTCTCTGACTACTTCTGCGTAAAAGTATTTACTTTGCTTTGGGTTTTATTACTGGAAGTCTTGACTTAGAAAACGGCACCAATACAATAATAAAAATCATGAGTCAGGGATTTAGGGATTTGTGGTTCGAAATAAACTTTTTCGGTAAATATTCTACTAAACTCTAGAAATTTGAAAAACGTGTTAATAATTTAATAGGTAGGAACCTGTTCTAAAGGTTTTTTCTCGTCAGTTTAGTCTCCAAGTCCCGTTTTAATCTATTTTGTTTTGATTTTCGAAAGAAGTCTTTCTGAATGTTGGACAGTTTATTTAGTTCAAGATAAACTTTGAAAATTAATTGGTTTCAAATGTAGTTACTAATCAGTATAACTTCTTCACTATCATTTTCACTTTCGGTATCAAAGAAAGAGTCATAAAATGAAATAACATGTGCTGTTTTGTATTATTTCTTACTCAAACGTTATAGTTTGTTTGAAAACCAAGTACCCAAACCTCATTTATGGATAAGGTTGTGGGTTATGACATGATTTACCCAAAGTTTACGATGTAAAACATTTGAATGACAAATTGATTATTTTCAGAATGTGACCTGAATTTTGTTACCTGCAAAATATAAAATTAAATCAGAGTAAAGAATTAATAGTTATTATTATATTTGAAGTAGTATGCTTAAATTTGTATTGCAACAAAACTATAATCTACTAGGAACTTCGTGTAAAAGAGAAAGATTCTGAAAAATTAACCGGCAAAAAGAAAAACAAAATGAACTAATTAATTCACAGCTTATACCAACTGAAAAAGATGAAGTTTTACACTTGTTTTCCTGCTGACAGATTCGATTGATGCGATGTTGACATGTGCAAAGCAATATGCAGTAAAGTCCAATGAATTTTATTTTTTAATATAAAGCCATGGAGATTGATGTATATTATCAAACTCATGAATCAATCATTTTGAGGCCACCAGTAGAAAGCTGGAAGCACTGGATGGCCGTATGGGACTCATCATCTTTTCGTATCCACAAAACCGCTACCCATAGGAATCGAACCCAGGACCTTCGCTCTTGCGCACAAAAGCCTAACCTCTAGACCACTGGGCCGGCATCCAGCGGTGTTAATATTCAACTCTGATTAGTTTAAGGTTCTGAACAACTTCTTTGGTGGTTACTGGTTACACAAGTTTCTAAAAATAGTTTAATTTTTAGTACTTTCATTATAATTGTTTATGATTTACTTAGATTTGCTTAGAAAATCATATGTTTTTGAAGTTGTGTTAAACATTAGTTTGTTCTAATTTAATCCGTACGTTCCTGTTTACACTCCCTGTATTTACTTAGATGTTTACTTGGGCAAATTCATTCAGACTATTGTAACTAATGTTTTTCTTGTTTTTACCTAATTAATC